CTTTTACATAATGTGTACATGAACAGGAAAGAAAAGTGCAAGACCACTGATCTTTTAATTGCTGGCCTCAGTCCTTTGGTCCAGTCTGTCAAACCCTGGGGACTGCACACAGACTCTCAGAACCAAAGCAAAGTGCCCGTACATGTACATGTGTACGTGCATGAGTCAAGATGCTAAGCCCAACTCCGAGGTCACTCTGGTCCTGGAGTTTCCTGGCCAGCCTGACTAATTCATTTTTATACTCTACTGGCCAAATCTCTGAAACTAAGCATTCTGAGATCTTGTCACGTCAAAGCTTGTGTGAGCAAACAGCGTGCACACAGCACACAAACAGCACATGTACAGTACATGTACATGTATGTGACTGACAATTTTAGGAATGTTACAGTCTTTAATGGTGTCATGGGGGGTTTTCTTACCCGAAACCTTCACAATTTCTGACACTTGAGACCAGTGAGCTAACACTGATTCTTGGTGAATGTTATGTATCCTCCATTTCTGGTGCTTAGGGGGGGTCATTACTGTTCCTGCTCAATGGACCCTTGAACAACTCCCCCCCCCCAAAAAAAATTCTCATTACCACCTCCTTTGGCCCAGCCTTGGGCTCATAATTAAACAATACAACACTCTCACAGGTACCCACATGTATAGGTGCATGTACCCCTGGGTGGAAAGAGGTAAACTTTGGCAGAGTGACCTGCCCAAAGTCCCAAGATGTCACATCCAACTGCTGGATTAGAACCCCTGACTCCAAGTTACTCATACAAACAATATTGAACCACTGCCTGTAGGTCACAGGCCTTAAAGACAGCGGTAACAACTATGTGGTGATGTTGATGTTTGCAAAAACAAAAACGCATAGAACTGGCTACTCTGAGGGAAAATCCTGTAACAAGAAAGCCATATTGTTTTAAAAGTCTGTTCAAGTTTTAAAAGAAACTAAGATTCATTTCATCTCACAGTGCAACAGTAGTCTCAACCATGAACATGTATTTCACTCTGGGTGTTACGGCTTGAATCAGGGCTAATGACCATCAGAAGGTCAAGTCTCATTCCTTGTAAGACTCAAGCCACCAAGGCGAAGGGGAGGGGGAGAGAAGAAATGAAGCCAAGTCTGGCACCTCGTCTTACCTTACAGCCCTCACAGGAGATAATGCCGTAGTGAACGCCAGAAGACCGGTCCCCACAGATCTTGCAGGCTATTGTTGGAAAGTCTACCAAGCAAAACAGAAATATGTGCACATCAGCTCAAAGGTGCAAACAACACAGTCCTTCATTTCAATGGAGCGCGATCGCGCAGGCGCTCCTACCGCACTCCTCAGCACTCCTGAAGGAGCGTAAAAAATCGTGCCCCTAAAGAAATTTCAGAGCATTTAACAAATAACGAACAGCATGACAAACACAGCGAACAACATCACCAAAAAAGGACTGTGATTCGTTTGTAACTTAAGATTTCACATTTATCCCGCTGTGACTTTCATACGTAGGCCTATAATTATTGTGCTAACAATCATTGCAATGCCAGCACCGCCTGCTTTCAGCTGCCAGCCAGCCCTGCACGCACATGTAGCATGCACATTNGTACACTGTACATACATGTATGCTGGCATGTGCATGTATGTTGCACGTAGTTTCGCTTAACCGGTACATGGTACAATCTGCTTCGTGTTTTTATTGGTCAGTATTGGTTTTCAGTGACAAGAGAGCCAATTGGTATCGATCTTCTTCATGAGGCGCTTAAGCAGAAAGCGCAGTGTTCCGAGGCTATTGGTCGTCATGAAAACGTTGTTCCGTGCATACATACATGTATGTACATCGTGCATGTACATTGTGTGCACTCATTAAATTCAAGCAGGAAACCCGAAGAGTGTTTGACGGTAAACATTGGGTGTTTGCATGTGCATGCATGCGCCGGTTTGGCATTTTCCTATTTTGATAGAGGTGGGTTTGTTACTGTCTGTATTAGCTGAACACAGGTGAAGTGTAGTCTATTAAGCTTTCGAATCCCCTTCAGGTTTTTTAAAGAAATGCTCAAATCAGGAGCGAAGTTCACTTCCACTTTTATTCAAATTAAAGGCACGTGTACATGACGTACAACTCATTTTTGTGTTGAATTGTACATGTAGGTTATAACTTATATGTAACGTTAGTCTGTTAAATAGTCAGGCCTAACTACTGTATGTTTAATTTGCAAGTACATTATAACAATTCTTGTTCAAATAAAAAAAAACAAGCAACAAGATGATGTATGTATAGTAAACCCATTTCTAACTGAACTAAACTAAATTAGTTTTAAAAATTGCCCCAAGAACATTATAAATCATCAGAGAAAGTGGAAACAATGTAGACCCCCTAGGTACAAACAATCGTTTGACCTCATTTTCTACTTCTTTTAATTGGTTTATTTTAAGGAGAGCGATTTGTTCTCCTGAGAGATTTGAGGAGAGCAATTTGTACATGTACATGTAGCTCTCCTGGATTTCTTTAATAAGGACTGCAACAGGGGACAGGTCTCGTGGGACCAGCATGGATACTGGTATCCGGTATTTACCAATGACCATCTCAACGGTCCCTCATGAAATTACAGGTACAAATTTGCATTTTTCACATCATTCACTGTGAGGTTTTCATCCCACGTCAGTAGCGATTTTACGAAAGTTTACACAATGGCGTACCGGTAACTTCACTTAAAACAAGAGCTATGCACTGGGTTACATGGAGATGCAAGTCTGTGCTTTGTATTACAAATTGTGGTGTAATTTGCACAATTACGTTAGGTCGATAAGTTTCAGGGTTTCTATGAGAAACGTTGAACTCTAATTGTTTTCGAAGGTTACGACAACATGTCTGGCTGTGAGAGATTTTCTGCGTGGTTTCAATGAAGATTGGACAGAAACCTTGTTCAAAATGGCAGGTGGAGCTGCATGTACAGGTACTTCAACAACTGTTTTATGACTGCTGTTTTGTCAAAATGTTGATCCTCCTCAAAGACTAATATATTCTTAAAACACTGCCCAGCTACATGTAAATGGCTACCGTATGCCGTAAACTGGTGGCTTAAAGTTTGCGCATGATTTGAAGTTAGGCAAGTTTCACAGCATTGGATGATGAAATCATCCACTGTCCTGAAAGAATCTGTGGAACTTTATGTAGAACTTTAGGGAACTCAAAGATTAAACAGACATTTTGGTTTCTCTCTGTCTATAATGCAATTTTCCTTTTCTGCAACTTGTACTATATACATGTACTGGTACATGTACATGAATGCACAACTGAGTCTACATGTAAATGAACGTTTAAGATGCTCACTTTTTGTTTTACTGTTTCAAAGGATCAGAAGGTCCCAGTATTCCGGTGCCTTTTGGGTTTTCATTGCCAATTTCCACATTACGAGCCAAACTGTGAGGTCATCCAAGGGACAAAACCCCAATGCTGCATTGATTTGTGCACAACATTATGAAATTTGCACACAGTCCTGCTCATTTTCCTCGTTTGGTGATTTATTGTAGTGAACATACAAGTACTCAAATCAGTGTACATGTATGTATAACAAAGAAGCCAACAAGCAATGCTTTCTCAATAGTCCTGGTTTCAGTGAATAAATCTACATTGACAAGTTGAATGGAAAACCGTTTTGAAACGAAGTGTCTTCCCTGACTGACATCACAGCAACAGCGCCCTCAGCTGTCCAGAAGATTACAGACAATTTTAAATGTTTGGAAAAAGTGCACTCCTTGATACACCCAACCTCAAAAGGAGGTCAAATAGTTCCCTAATACATGTAGAATGCAGAGTACCAGTAAAAAAATACCTTCAAGTTCATAAAAAAAACTGACCGGGACAATTCTGACATTTTTTTTACCAATGGAGGACAACACAGCCCAGCCACATTCCCACACACCTTCCATAACCTACATGTTCTGGCTTCTATATGTACGGTGATTCCCAGTGCAGTTCAGTGCCACTGAGGCCCTCAGCAATGAATGATTAATGACGATTCATACAGTAGCTTCCACCAGAGTTACCGGTAATGCCAGAGGGCTTTTCCTCACATTTTTGCACTGTCCCCATCCGATTCTGCCCTTTCAACCCCAAGTTCACACAAGTCTAAGCTAGGATTCAACAGGGATCAGACAGATGATCAGTCAAATGTATACAGCCTACTGTACATGTACATGTACTTCAGACAGCTCTACATTGTATGCACTGTACACTATCCTGTACATGTGGACCTGTATAGCTAACAACTACGGTGGGGGATATGGTTGTTTAATTGCAAAGGGTGCTGTGCGTGCTCACAGGTGTTCTAAAGAAACATCACATCCTACATCAGGGCAGTTAATAATTGTTTTGTCATACAGGTTACTCCATCTTGAATCCTTAGTATATAAAGTGTCTAGACTTCAATTGAAACTACGGTACCGGCAGGCTGTGTAAAACTGTTTCGTTGCCCTCGCTTGACCAAGCAAAAGTCTGGAATAACCTCAGGCGGACTTTTTCCATTGAAATGCCAATTATTCTGCATGTTGTTACAGAATTATAATTTTACAGTATACATGTACGTGTATGTGTAATGAATGGTGTAAGGTAGCTGGGACCTGGGGCATTGTACAGAGTATACATGTACATGTATACGTGTATTTGTACAGATGCACAATGCAAAGTACATGTGTATCGCATCGCAGTATACCGCGTTCGAGCATGCATTGCACACAGCGCACTTATTAATCTACACAGTATACCATGTTGGCGCATGCACACAGTGAAATTGGTAGTGAGGACCTTATAACCAAAAGGAATCCTTTACAAAACTACATGTGTATAGTCAAAATGACCATGCTAAGCTTCAATTACGGCTTAACAAGCGATGCCGATTTTTGAAAATGAAAATTTGAAAAATTGAAAAAAAAAAAAATCATGACTCAACGATGAAAATCAATCTTTGGAGAGACTGCATTTAAACAAACCGCATTGTTCATCGGTACCCACTATTCACATTTACATACTGTACACTAAGCTGAATGGCAGGTCTTGCCACTTGTGTGCACGTAATGTCAGGATGGCCAAGATGGACGCCTATGAGTTGTCCGTGAAGAAAACTGTTCAGCTATGTTGCCAACATATGGCACTTTTTGGGATTTATTCTGTAAGTACTTGTACGGTACCAGGCACCTCAACTGTTTTTTGTCAGATATTTCAGTGGCGACGTCATGTCAAGGGGCCCTGCAAACTGTCTCAACGTATGATCGACGTGTTGTCAGGTTGTGGGACCTTAGATTTCATTACATGTTGTTTAAAGTGTTGCATCCTCCTCTGAATACAGATGTTTTAAGCAAGAGTTACCAAAATCATAATAAATCCATTGGAAAATAAAAACGTGCAAGCCGGAACTTCCAAACTAACATTAGACTCTGTTGATGACCTTTCAATCGTCAGTTCAAACACATCTTTGAATATCTGCATATGGCTGCAAATTGTGCACATGCCTGTGAAGTGGAAGCTGTCTTGACAACCAAAAATAAATATAAACTCTCCTGCCTCCTACCTACATGTAGTTTTCAAAAAATTGGATGCTCAATGTTTCTTTTTTAGTCTCTAAGTACAGAGGGCCTCATGTTTCAATCCTAGCACAATCTTTTTTACTTAGTCTAGCATTCATACATGTACATGTACATGTTCATGTGCATTCAAGGCATGTACAGTGTAGAGGTACATGTACCGGTATTTTAAACACCCAGACTTTCACTAAATTGATATCTCAGCAAATTGTTTTCATGTACACTGTACATTTACTGTAGGAAAAAATCCCCTTTCACAAGGAAGTTAATTTCATTCCATGCTCCGAGATCCATGTACATGTATTTCAAATAAAGTTGGCGCCATGAAGAGTTGACAGCTCAAAACATTTGCCATTTGAAGTTGAACTCTCAACTTTTCTGCAAATTCAATCAAGTGGCGTGCCAACGAAAAAAGCTTACCACGTCATGCACATCCAGTCGTTCCATCGGCCTAAGTGACTGCATAATTGAGAAATTACAAAGGCGCGGGACAAACAAGTTTTTTGACCATCCACCCACTGCTGAGCATAAAAAACAGAAGAGGAGAAAATACCAAGAAAAAACTGCACAAACAGGTTGGGGAGAGATCTAAGGCTGCATACCGGTACATGTACGAGAGTACAGCATACACTCAGTTAAGTGCCCCCCATCCAGTA